TACAAATTAACTGACAGACTTTTGTTCCTTTCTTATAGTTTTTGCAGCACAGATTTGATAGTTGACATAATAAATGACTTTGCAAAATCATGTTCTATTTTCATTTTCTGTGTGGGCACACAATGTTTATGTTTTAATGTAACAAGGCAGACAGGAGTGTACAAAAGAAGAGACAGCCAGGGATGGACCCAGGCTCTGCCCTAAAGGACATAACAGCTCCATTCCTCGCTTTAATCTTGGACTGCAATAGTGACTTCTGTATTCAGCTGATGTTGCAGTGCATTCTGGGTAGAGTTAGAGGAAAAAGCGACTAGATGTGACCAGCTGCATTTAAATTGCTGTAGTAATACAATGCTGATATTTTACTTATTTTTGTGATGTACTACTGTACTTATAATTTTTTAAGTGTTTTTCATTAGTGTCACCCGTAATTCATTTATATTTTTGTTATTGGTTGGGTGCCTTAGCCAGCACTTCTTAATGAGGGGATTTTCAGCAGTTTCACTCTAATGGCCAGACACAACCTTGAGATCACTAGTCTTTTCTTGACTAGTGAAGTTATTGCAGACTCCCGCCTTCTGTTTAAATTAGCGCAAATGCATGGGGCAGGTGCTCTCACGGCTATATGAACGGCGTTTTACGACAAAATGAGTTGTCTTTCCAATGACGTCAATGTTTGGTTACACTCTGGACCCTGAATATCAGAGTTCTTAAGCGGAATACTTTCAATAAACCACCCAGCAGGTAAAATTATGTTGCATGCTAAATACCGATGAGTAAAATGTCACTGGCTGCCCCCACCTCAGATCCTGCTTTTCCTAAACACGAAATGCATGAGATGTGAACCAACAGCAAATTCTTAAAGCCTCTTGTGCCCATCCGTGGCTCAAAGCGAGTTGGCTGAGGTCTCAGCAGCCACACAGCACAACGCCTCCTTTGTCATCCGTTCGACTGGCTGACGCCTTTATCCAGGATCACCAACCATACGTCCTGGTATGCAAGACCCAATTAGACTCGGGTATCGGGTTTTTTTGTTGTGACTGGGAGCAGTGGGACCAGAGACTGGTTTTTGAGTGTTCCATCTGGGTTTTTTTTCCATGGTGCTGGGAGCTAGGCATTGTGTTATTTATTTTCTTGTTTCATTCTGTTCTGTTTCCTCAAACGGTGCTTTTTCTGAAGCCTAGCAGCTCATAGCTAAGCTAACCTGCAATGAAGCACTGCTTCACTTGAACTAGTTTTAAGTTCTCAAGAAGGAAGTGCTGGCATTATTGTTATGGTTCTCAGAGCAACTTGGTGGTTCTTAAAGCCTGGTTCTCTCGGTTACAGTTCTCGGGATGTCCGTGTGGCCAGCGAGTGACACCCACTGTCACAATTCCAGATCTGAGGATGATCATTATTGTACATGCAGCTCCTGTGTTCATTGTCTTTCACCTTCATCCAACTTGCTGATCATAATCATCTGACCAGCTTCACTGTATTGCAAACCTTGGGATTACCCAAAGATGCTGCTGGCTGTGTATTATTGGGGTTATTCTAAGCTCTGTCTGGTAGGGGGAATTATGTGTAATTGCCTCAAGTCTTACAGAAGTGATGTAAATATGGCATGGATTGGATTCCCTACAGGAGTTTTAACATAGCAACACTAGCCTGTTTGTGCAATTGCAGGTTTTACTTGGGTAATTCGCCTTGAAAACCCTTCGTCAGAAGTCTGGTTGCATTTTTGCTGTCAGCCCAATGAACCAGTGAGCTTTGGCCCCTCCTTGAGGAGTCCTTATTGATTCAGGCTTTTTTTTTTTCCTGAGATGTCTGAATCTGAACTGCGCTGGTTCAATGGGGCAGAAAGGGGGTATGGGGCTTTGGCACCGCTGTGGCTCTGGGGCCCCCATGTGTGAGACTGTCACTGGCCACTGTGTTCCCCGTTTCCTGGCTTGTTTCTGTCGTCGTGGGTTTCATGTCACTGGAAACAGTTGCAGGAGCCGGCGGTTGAACCAGATGCCTTGGGCAGATAACACACCATTGTGTGTCTCCCCCCCACCCCCACAGTCCCTTGTGTGCCTCCTCCTCTCAGACATAGCAAGCTTAGCTCCTAAAGATTTCCCCTGACCCCATTTCTTCTACATTTGACAAAGGCCTGTTTGCCAGTGCAGTAACGATCTTGTGTGTGGGAGTGGGCAAGTGGCCTCTTCTACTCTGTATCACCATTTGATACATCCTTGATCTACTTAGGCCAGTTTCATACTTGAGCACCTCTAATCTGCACTGGTACCATCCTAACCAACACCACTACACTCCCAAAACACATTGGAACAATTATTAGTTGCACCGGTGCACCCCTTTTTCATAATGGTATATCATATATCCCACAAAACTATTTCAAAAACTCTTGTCGACATCCTACACCTAGCTTGCCGCTGGCCAATAATGGTATGCTCCTTTCCCAAGATGGTACACCCTTATTCCATGGTGGAACACCCCATCACATTCGGCTAATGAACAACGGTAGACCTCTGTTCCCTAATGGTATGCTCCTATCCCACAAGAATTTACTCTTATCCAGAAGGGAAATGCTCCTCCTATCTCATGCAGCAGTAATTGCTGGACTTCAACGTGTATTTGGAGGGTGACTGAGAAACAATGTTAGCTGCAAAGCTCTAAATCCTCTTACTCTCTAATACACATGGACTCACAAATAGTATGCATTCACATTAACAATATACACTGACACAACCTAGATATTGGACTCCTCAGCCTCATTCTGGCTACCAGATCTGATTCATTTTGCAGAATTCCCATCTACCAACTTTTCCTGAAACTATTCATGATGTTCTGATGGCTAACAGATGGCTAATAGATGGTGCATATCGAGTGAAATCGGCCTTTCAATTATGATCTGTGGGTTTTCCAGCTCCCTCTTGCATTGATTTACCATTCTTACCTTTTCGCTTTTCCTCGGGGCTGCTGTTATCGATAAAACCCACATTTTCTGAGCCTCTACAGTGGCGATTCTTCTCTTTTATTTTAAAACCACTCTTATTTCATAAAAACTCATTTCCATAATCCCTTTGTGACTAGAGTGAATCTAGATAGCAAACAAATCTGCAGGTTAGATAAAATATTGCGCTTTAACACAGCAGTATTTCTGTCTTGTCTGTGCACAGGAACGGTGGTTTAGCTTGGGTTTATTGGTAGGCCTTGGCTGTGTTGGCATTTCCGTGTGTCACACGGAGGATGAATTTCTGTGTTGTGTTGACCACGAACTGGAGAATGTTTGTTCATCAGGCACAAATATAGAAGGAGGATCTAAGCCCATGTCATAAGAGCCTGGAGACCTCAGGTCAAAATTATTCAAGCTATTTAATCAGACAGTGCAGTGAACTCATCACATGCTTATGGTAGAATCTCTGGGGCATTTCATGACAGTACATTTCGATTTGGTTCTCAGTTTTGAAGGAAAGCATTCTGGTGCAGTGGCAGTTTGTTAATGTGGGGCGCTCAGGATATCTAGAGAAGAATGTATATTTAAACATAAATTATAATGCAAAATAATTATGAAATAGAATTTGTTTATACTTGTACAATGGGCCTGGTAGTCTGTTAGCTTTCATTAAGAATTGCTTCCAAATTGTATTTGGTTAATTTCTGTGTGAATACACATACTTCTTGGGTGAAGGGTACCAGCCAAATGAGTCTATGCACGTCCTTTAACTTTTCTCAAGCAGATGACCTGAGCCTGCCCTCTAATTGTTTTTTTTCTTTTCTTTTCATGGGGTGCCCCAGACGCAATACAAGTGCCCTAGTTTTTTTTTTTTTATCTTCCAGTGAATTGGAATTATGGGGGGGGGTCAGTTATAGTGTAGAGGTGCACATGTGTGTTCCGGCCACATCATTGACGTCATGTCTGTGTTCCATTTTCGGGCACAGTTAGCGATCACGCTAGATGCGTCCAGCTGAGCCGTGCCCAGACCCACCTCTTCACGGACTCATGGATTCACAACATCATGGTCTTATAATAGCAGTTAATCTCATTCGATTGGGCAGTCAGGTCAGCGTGCGTTATGGACATTGGTTGGTGTGGATAGCCAGGCATTAATAAGCACTGCTGAAACTAAACTATATTAATGCAGATTTTTACATTGCTTGTCAATCTATGTGTCTGCAATCCAGCCTTTAAATAAACGGGCACATTTCTGTAATATTGGCATCTTACCCAGAGACTGCTACATTGTGGCCTGTCCTTCATGGGTTATACTCCAGACTGATCCTGTACTAGATCAACAGTATAAACAATGTCTGGAAGGACTTCTGTAATCCAGAATGAAGAAACACCTAAGCTCTGTTACCTGTCTGGCCAAGCTGCCAGTTCATTTTTTTGTACAAATATGCTTGCAGGTGAGATATAAATATATGATTCTTATGCAACCCTGAGCAGCATAAACAGAAAATAGATATCCATCCATCCATCCATCCATCCATCCATCCATCCATCCATCCATGTCCTTCTGTGTCTTTGCCTCTTTTCCTGGTCAGGGTCACGGGGCCCTGGAGGCTGTCCCAGGCAGCACAAAGCACCAGGCTGGGGTGCACTTTTGGCAGGATGCCATCCCACTGCAGAGCAGATACATAATCACACTGTATTTGATAATCTGTCCGCAGGAAGAAATCCACACAACATGGGGAGAACATGCAAACTTCATACACAGCCTATGGAAGTAGGATTCAAATCCAAACCTTGCAGAGGCATGAAGCAACAATGCTGCCCACTGAGCCACTCAGGGATATATATGTTATTTTTTAACAAATTGTAACAACAATTCAGTAACTGTTTAAAATAAAATAAATCCTTAGATCCTCATGATGAGATTGATTGAGTAACTTGTCCCTGTGGATTTGTGTCACTTTGGGTGTTGTTGGGGAAGGGGGTCAGGCCTCTATTTTCCCCACCACTACTCTCCCGCTGACACATCCTCTGACTTGCCTACCCTTTCTCTCCCACCCCCCAGCCCATGATGAAGCAGTCTCCCTGGAGCAGCCACCAGGGCGGTGGCTGGAGCTCTGCTGGTGTGTCCTGGGGCGGGGTGCACGGCCGGGACCACCGGCGTGGTGGGGGCATGGGGGTCCCCGGTACTGTAAGCCAGATCTCACCGATGAAGAAGCCCTTCTCCAGCAGCGTCATTGCCCCGCCCAAGTTCCCGCGCTCCACTGCTGGCACGGCCGCCTCTCTTACACCCAAGTCCTGGATGGAGGACAACGTGTTCCGCACTGACAGCAACAGCAACACACTTCTGCCCCTACAGGTGAGGGTGGGTAATGCGTGTGTTGTGGCTGTCCAGCCTATGTGGGTTATCGGACAAGGTCCTTTGTCTGCAGCTTTGACTCCATCTTACCCCTGAACTATTTGCGAGGACACGTCGCCATGGAGACACCAAGGACACCCGCAATGCAGCTGCAACTCAACGTCGCTTAGAAGGAACTCTGCTTGCATCTGGTTGCTGCCGACAGGCAAGCGGCTCGAAATGGTCCATACCAACTTGATACACAACTTGATACAGTGGCTTAAATTGGTCCTTAATATTGATGCCTCTTGCCTTGGCTGGCCTTGCTCTTGCTCTGGCTGCATTAAACAGGACATTTCATTTGTTAAAGGATCAGCCTCATATCCAGCAGGTTGTGGGCTCTCATCTTGCTGTGAATCTCTGTTTCTGTACACTTTTTAGCGGCAGTTAATCTGTTAAAGTAGTTTGTGTGTAGGGATATGGTTGTATCTAGTGCTGCTGAACTGAAATGTCTCTAGAGAGGATGCAGTGAAGATATTTTAAAAAGCAGGGCACTGCAGGCATAGAATTGGAAGGGGTCGTTTTGAGCGTGATGGATAAGAGGAGCGCATCCGCGTGTGAGGAGAGCTGGCACGTGGTGAGAGTCGGGCAGGAGGCCATCTGTTCCCTGTGTGGCTTCTGTACAGCTCAGAAGCCTCAGGTTCTCCTTAAAAGGTGAATTATTTCCAGCAAGTTCCTGTCTGATGGGAAAGCCTGCTGGCTCGTGTGTGTGTGTGTGTGTGATAGAGAGAGAGAATGAGACACATTAATGTGTGATTGCACACTTCCAGTCCCACTGCTCTTAAACGTGTGCTTATTCCTGTAAGTTGCTCCCTGTCCTTTGTTCGTTCTTCTCTAAAGTGGTATAGAGTTTGTGGGCCACCTTCAGTCGGGACCATGATGCCAAATGTCACCCTGGCACAAAGGCTGTGCCCTCGCAGTATGTCTGCAGGTGCCATGTTGTCCAGCGATGCTTATCTCGGCTATTATCATTATTAGAGGTACAAGCACAAGGATTGCTGGATCCCTATTGTTATGTCAGGCACCTACTGTAATTATTATTATTATTATTATTATTATTATTATTATTATTAGTAATAGTAGTAGTAGTAGTACTTGTGGTAGTAGTAGTAGTAATAGTGATAACATAGATGTATAGGGTGTGTGCATTTGTAAAAACTACACACGACTATGCATTAATTTTCACAAGGCTCAGTGGAAGAATGCCATCGTAGCACAGAAGTCTAAAACGGAGAACCAGATGCGACCAGATCAACCAAACCCCCAAAGCCATTACATCACTGAATGAATCATCATAAGGGTTTTAGTTACTCTGCGGTTATGGTGCCCAGACTGAGCTGATTATAAGACATGCTGAAGCTTCTTTAAGAGTGTTATGTTGCATTTCATTCATTCATCCATCCAGTTTTTCATTCATTTTATTTATTCTTTCTGATATGGAACCAGGCCTCGCATTATGAGATACTGTTGCCATGTGATGTTCTATAAAACCTCTGACACTGTTATAGTGCCATTGTGACATCATTAACATATCCCCTCCCATACAGCTTTTAAGTGCCCAAAGACTTAATAATTTAGTCACGGCACCCCTAGAAAGCTTCTGCTTGCAAACCTCTGACTTCCTGTGTTTTCCAGAGAGCAATTTTCCCAGAATAGGAAAGCACTGCAAGTGCAACACTCTGCAGTCCACCCCCCCCCCACCCCAGCTCTCCCCTCCATCATCCCCCTTTCTCTTTTTCCAGGATGTTGGCCAGAATAGATTGATTGTTCATTTCTATAAACAGTGTCACACTTTGAACATTTTGAATTCCTCTGTGTCTTTTTCTTTTCTCTCCTCATAGTTTTTTGGATCTGTCTCTGAACAATTCCAGGTTTATGCCTGTTGTTTCAATCTGGACTGCCCTACATTATTGTAGCTGTTCCATTTCAGGCTTTAGATTTCTGGTGTGGTTTTGGCCTCACTGTTTGAGTGCTTTGAGCACGTAAATTTGATTCAACCTGTTTCTGTCTGCCTTGTTTGCACTCCGTCCCTGCATCACATGCCAAGGCAGTACTTAGATATCCAGAACTTCCTAGTTGACATTTTTTTTCCCTGGATGATGCAGTCATAATGTCAAATCTGCTTCCAGCGAATGTTTCTCGTCTCAATACTTAAATATTTCATGTATATGTTAGCAGGAAACTCACTGCGGCCTCTTTATCAATTATCTTGTGAGCGACAGGGTCACTGCTTCTTGAGTGGAAATCAGTCAGGGTGTGTTTAACTCGTACGTTTATCCTCGTCCAACTCCATTCTATTTTTCTCCCATGGAAATTACATGAACCTCTCAACTAGACGTGGCAGGTCTGTAATAATCTAGCATCGTCCCACTCTTGCCTTTTTGGGCCCGTGGCTTTTTTTAATCCCTGCTGCCAGAACATTTGAGTGTCTGAGCTGCATTATGTGTACTGGGCTCAGTCTGAAAAATCCTTGGGAGATTGGGCCACTTTGGATTCATTGTCCTGCCATTGGGTTTGGGGGCAAGTCCCTCGGGCATCTGGCATAGATTGGATTCTCCCAGGTGAGGTGACTTGTGTGTTTATATTTAGCGTGGTGGCACCGGCTGCCCTTTTCACCCCCTCTCTGTAGCCCCACCCTTACAGAACAGCTGTCCCTCAGGCCTTCCTGTGTTCTCCGCTCTTAGGTCTTAGCGTCTGCTTTGGATGAGTCGGGGACGATGAGGTCATGTTCACCGTCTGAGTGGTCCTTCTGAGGAATGGAATTCCATGGGGTGCAGCCCCGCCATTGTTTCCGCTCCGAGACGTCGGTGGGAGCGGCCCCAGGTTCTGGGGAGCGCCGGTGTCGTGGTGGCACGCAAATATTTACTACAGCAACTGGAGTGAATGAACAAGCCAGGAAAGAATTTTGCAGGGAATGCCAACGATGGAGGCTAGTGTTTGGAATGCTCCTGGTAGATTTCATCTGCTGTCCTTTTGCTGTTCCCAAGGAATGTGGATGGAGAAGTGACTTTTCCAGGTTTACAAGAGTTGTATATTTCCTCACAAATGTCTGCATAGCCATGAATGGAGTGCGATTGAATTACATGTCTCGGAAGCTTTTGGAACATTGCAGCATCTATGCAGACAGTTCTTGAACGTTTCAGTGTGTGGCAGGGGAGCTGAATGGTGACATCATGCTGATTCTCTATGGACCCATTCAGAAATCAGCACCCAGTGTTTTTCCAGGAGTTGGTAACACTGGTCTCCCCGTGAGGAAAGTCACCCCTTCTTCACTGGAAGCTCTTTGCTTGAATAGTCGCTATGAGTCATCTGACCATCACCCCCCCCCCCCCCCCCCCCCCCCCTTTTTCCTGCCTTGTTTCAGGACCGTTCCAGAATGTACGACAGCCTGAACATGCACTCCCTGGAAAGTTCCCTGATTGACATTGTGAGAGCGGAGCAGGATCCCATGAAGGGTAAGGGGGGCAGGGACGGCCTTGGCTGGTGTCGGCTTTGGCTCCATCACACTGACACAGGCCGCGGCGTTTGACGTCAGACTGTGTTCTCGTTACCAGTAAGGGATACAGTACCCGCACAGTTCAGAGACTGTGATCTGAACCAGAGCTCCCAGTCTCACTGAGGGTCGTGTTTTCCTAACCATCCTTCGTAACCATCTCTGTTATCCAATTTCTAGACCCTCCCAGGCTGGAACCTTTTGAAAACAAGCTATGTTCGTTTTGTCTTTTCATTTTAGCCATCTGCCTGTGTCCTATAATAGTCCGCAATATCCCCTCAGCTCAACAGAGAGCCCAACATTAGACCTAGGAAAGGTGCACCATCGAAAATGGAGACTGGTGACATTGTGTTGGGTATTAGGACATTGGAGATAAAGGGGTGTGAAGTGTGGCAAGTGGGAACAATCTGGCAAAGTCCTAGATATGATGGCGGCAGATGTGGGTGTGGTGGACAGCAGAGGGCAGTAGAGAGTATAGGCAACACATCAGGAAAACAAGAGAAGTTAGGGATATTCCCTCTGTGCCTTTGAGACAGACTTTACAAACTACTCTATTGCACTTATTGTCTTATTACCCCTCAAATTTAGAAGAGCCCCTTGCCCTGCCACCTTGCAAGAACATTCTTGGAATCATTTCCCAGGTTCCCCCAATGTCCAATTTTGTGTGCATTTCAGATTTGAAAGACTGTGAAAAGTGGTCACTAACGTGTGTTAAAGGGTTGTGGCTTGTGTTTTTCCCAAATTTTACGGGGCGGAGTGTGACTTAGTGGGTGAGGACTCTGTGCCCTTGTGATGAAAATTGGAAGGTCACTGGTTCAAATTTCAGGGTTCACCACTGGGCCCCTGAGCAACGATCTTATCCCCCATGTGCTCCAGGGACTGGCTGACCTTGCTTTCTCAATTGTACATCATTTTTGATAAAAGCGTCTACTACGTAAATAAATGTAATGTAAACAATGCCCTGAGGCCATCCTGTGGCCATGTAGTTCTGCTTAAACCCAACTAAGGCTTTGGGTTAATTGCCAAAACATAATCAGAGATGAATCTGCGAATTTGGGGATAGTGGTGTGTATCATACCCTTTGGAATAGTGTGTTTACCATGGAAGGAACTGGATGTTCGTGTCACCTTTATATGGTGGCTTCAGTCAGAATCTGCTGGCGCAGGTGGGCTGACTCAGCACCATGCCAGCTACCAGAAGAAATGTGATGTTTTCCATCTAGGACCATCCGTTCTAGAACCATCTGTCCCTTGGATCACTCTGACTGATTTAGTGTACCGATTCTACTAGGAGGTCCCCAAAATAGATCTGTACTTTCACTGTAGAATTATAATAGGTATTAACCTTTTTTAATAGTATTACACTCATCGGATTCATTTATGAAATATCCATTTGAAACTGGGCAATCATGGTAGCTTGTCATGACCCAATTGAATGTGATCTAATGTGGCAGCAGGTATACCCTACAGACCTCAGAAGCACCCCCTTGGAGTTATGACAGTCACGCTGCATTTTCTATGAGGACTATGGGAAATGAGGTTAGAACTATAAGGATACAGCACAGTACTGGACAGCATGAATTGGGCTCATCTATTTTAATTGTCTTCCCCCTACTTCGTGTATAATCTGACTCTGTCACATCCAGCTCTGTTTCTTCTCTTATGTTCTGCTTTCCCTCATCCTGTACTTTCTTCTCAAATTCTGCTTTCTTTCATTTTATTCCTTCGCTTGACTTTTTTTTCTGTTGTTTCCTTTCTTATTCTGCTGCCTTTTCCACGTATCCCGCTTAATGTCCCCTCCCATACAGCTTGGTTTCCTAATGTAACTTGCCTCAGGACTTGGTATTATTTTCCTGTTTCCTCTTTTAATCTGATCCATTTCCGTGTCTCGTACCACTGCTTCCTGTCCAGTGACGTCACCCTGTTTTATTCTTAGTAATTCTTCTCCCTCCTTCTCCTGGTTTAATATTTCTCTGACTCATTTTAAGCTTTTATGTCGTATAATTTAGCACAGCTGCTCTCCAGTGTGAAGCTTCATTGTTTCCTGTGTAGCATTGACGTCTCCTCCATCTTTTCATCTCTGGTGCCCCACATTTCCTCCACCCTTTTCTCTCCAGCCCTCCTGTGTTTCCTGATTTGTCCTTTACCTTTTTTTTGTCTGTTTCTACGCCAATTCCTCTCTTCCTCTACCACCTCTTAAGATTTCCTGCCTTTCTAGGATTTTCAGCTCCGCTCATTTTCAGTTTTCCCGTTTTGCTTCCCTCCACCTTTTTCTACACTGGACCTGTGCTCGTCTTCCTCACCTCACCCTCCACCATCTCCTGTCTGGCACCGAGCCGTTTCCGATCCTGTCTTCCACTGTCTGTCTCATCCTTTTGTGTTTCCTTTACGTCAGGCCGAGTCGGATTCCCACACCAAGGGGCTGACAATCTCCTCATGCTCAATGGTAATTATTTCATTTTTCCTTCAACTGCTGGCATTGCTGTTCTTGTCTTTGTTTACTTCCACATCTCGTATATCGTCAGTGCCATTGTCATGGATTAGTAGATGTCTGTCTCATCTTTCGGTTAGGAGGCAGTGGCTTTGCACTTGGGGACAGGCACACCTTTGGCTTTGTGACCTTAAATACAAACACTTCACTCCAGAACATCTTGGCCAGGGTGGTGTGGTGGATCAGGGCCTTGTCAGAAGGATCTAGCTTCAAAGACCAATGTCTGTTTTGACATAGAGTGAGGCACCTGAAAGTTTTTAAAATTTTAACCCCCAAATATTGAGTGCAGGACAGAAAAGCTTACCAAAACGACTCACCCAGTCAGTGCTGTATAAATCAGGCTTTGTTCTCACAAGGTCTACCATGTAGGGCACAATCTGCATAATGCTATGCAAATGCCTGTATAGATAGAGCCCAGGAGCAACGCGTAAATGTTTTATATATTTTCCCCCCTGCTTTTGAAATTCTCACGGGCGGCTGACAGTAGCAGCAGGAGTCAGCCGTATTTTGGTATTTTTGGACCCTGAAAAATGATGCTTCCATTTTTAATCTTTCTTTTTTAATCCTGGTTGGCAGGATTCCTTTTATTTTTTGTTGTGCCTCCATTTTGAGGCCGGAACACAAAGGCAGAGGGCGAGGGCTTTGAAGTGGCCTGACTGTGCTTTGCCTCGTTTGTACTAAATGAAGTCAGTCAGTATGCTTGCTCCTCTGGAGAGCCTGAAATTGGGTTTTCACACTGGCAGATGATGGAGGACACTAAACCTTACTTGCTGTAGCACCCACAGCACATTAACCCAGTGTTTCTCAACCCAGTCCTTGGGTACCCCCAGATAGTCCACAGTTTTGCTCCCTCCCAGCTCCCAGCACTCCTGTATTGGGGGTTGGCTTGTGGGGAGCAAAAGTGAGGACTGTCTGGGGGGGTCCCTGAGGCCTGGGCCGAGGAACGCTGCCTTAACCTGAAGCCATTCTTTATGGAAGTAGCATATGCAGTGGATGCTTATTTCTCCTATACAGTGGCTCTGTTTGTCTCTCTAAGGTGACAATGCACTCTTCACTGATTCCCTTATTTACACATGTTTATGACAATCTACCTCACAGACCCTGTTGTTGTCGGAATTGTGTCGGTTCCCAGATTGATTGCAGTCTGCTTTGCCGTAGTGGCAATGCGTGCAGCATGTAGTCTCACTGAGCATCGCCGTGACAGTTTGCACATCACAGGTTATTGCCGTAGTCTTGTAAAGTGTCACTGTCGACACTGCAGCTTCACAGATCTATAGCAACAAAGTAGCTCTGCATTGCATCACTATTAGCAGCAAAGTAGCTTCACAGAACGTCGGCATTAATATCGTGTTGATCCACAGTTTTGGCATTAACCGTGTCATAGCTTTACAAAGTATCACCATTAGCAACATGTAGTTTCACAGAGCATCACCATTAGCAACAAAGTAGCTTTACAGAGCATCATCGTTAGAGATATGTAGTTTCAGAGAGCATCGGCATTAGCAACATGGAGCTTAATAGAGCATCATCATCACCTACATGTAGTTTCACAGACCATCGGCATTAGTAATGTAGCTTCACAGAGCAATATTATTAGCGACGTGAAGCTTCATAGAACATCGCCATCAGTGGCATGTAGCTTCACAGAGCACTGCCATTAGTGACGTAGCTTCACAGAGTATATCGCCATTAGCAAGATGCAGCTTCACAGAGCATCAGCATTAGTAACATGTAGCCAGTAACTTCAAAGAGCGTCACAGAGAGCCCTTAGTAACCTGGTACATGAATCTTCATATTTATGCCCATATAAAAACTGTCCACAACTTTCTGAAAGCAAAATGAAGACGAATAATCATATCTGTCACTACAGCAGTCATCATGTGGCTGAAACAGTCACTCATGAAGGTGAACAAAAAGGTTTTATTTATTTGTTTATTGGGTTATTTCTGCACTCGCAAGAAATTTTGGCAGTTGATAGGTTGGTCTAATTGTTCTGTCTGCTAAAACCACTCTGTACTCTGTTTACATGCAGCAAGGAGTTATGGGAGACGACGAGGTAACGCAACCCATCGTGATTAGTTTTTCTTTGGCATGGGCCCAGTCATGGTGTATGTGGTAGCTGTGCATGCGTGTTGTGGCGTGGCTGTAGGTGATCCGTCACGCGCTGCTGACGTGGGCATGAAATCAGCATTAATCCGTGGGACTGATTCTGTCGCCATGTACACATCCCGTTCCGTTTCAAAAACCACTGTCATGTTCGAACATGTGTTGACGCCCACACAATGTCAGCAGCCAATCAGGACGCCCACACAATGTCAGCAGCCAATCAGGTGTTCTGTAGAATGGGACAAACTGATTGTCCAGTGATAGCCTGATTTATCACTGCTTACAAGATGGATGTTTCGATAACTGAACACTTTTTGCCTTTGCTCTTATTTTAATACCTGTGTCCACACCTGTGCTGTTTATTTATGCTATTGTCATGTTTATTGGTGCTGTTCTAGTTACTGGTAGGCTAGCGGGAATAACTTGTCTTTTTAAAAAGGCAGGAAGAATAGTTTTAGATGGCCACAGAATTAAGTGGTGTTGACGGTTGTGTCCTTTAGTAAAATGGGTTGAGATTCACAGATCCTCCGCAAACAAAAAACAGCTCCATCTATTTTTAATATTTTTTTCCTCCGTGAGTTTTCTGAATTTAATGTTCATGCTGTCCACAGACCTCACATGAACCCAGTCTAGCCTCTCGGATATCATATATCATGCCGTTCATGTGATTAGGGTAGGTTCTTGCGCGGGTTCTGGTCCAGTACCCTCATGTTTCTGTAAGCAAAGCCCCGCAGAGGTGACTGGCTCCAAGGTACAACAGACATCACCTGTTCCCAACTTATCCTGGTTCTGGTGCTGGGGGATCTCACTCAGATATGTTATAAACTACCTTGCAACATATTTTACTTGGCGGGGGGGGATATATCCTCCTCCGGTGTAGCCTGTAATCCATAGTCTTTCCCTTTGTCCCTCAGTTCTTAGTGTGATGGGTTATGGCAATCACCTGGATGGTAGCCCCCCAGAACAGAGACAATGAGGGCGGATGAGGCAGGTTAATTTCAGCTGCATTATAGATTTAACTTCCCCTCCAAGCATGTAGGGGGCAGCATACTAGAACCTGAATGCTTGCCAAGTGGACAGTGAAATATAAACAAGTTTAGGAAGCAACAAAGCAGTTCTTTCCAAAGTATCCGTGGGCGGTGCGTATTGGGTTTCCTCGTATCCAGTCCTGGAGGCCCGCCAGCCAGCTGGAAGTGCTTACCGCCTCATGTGGTTCTTCTGGGCGTTTTTGTGGGTCACAGGGGGTCCTCCTCACCTGTCCTGCCTGTCTTCTGCCACAGGCCGCTCCTCCCTCTTCCCCATTGACGATGGTCTCCTCGACGACGGCCACAGCAACCAGGGGGTTCCTGGCGTCCTCGGCTCGCCCAACTGCTACCCTCACCAGAACGGCGAGCGCATCGAGCGTTTCTCCCGCAAAGTGTTCGTGGGGGGCCTGCCCCCAGACATCGATGAAGGTGAGTGGGAGGAAATCAGCAAGAGGTGGAATCCCCGCTCTCTGTGGTAGCTGAAATCCCACGGGTTTTTTCTGTGAACCAGCTGCCGCAGCAGTTAGGGAAGTGGTTTTGTAACCAGGAGGTTATAGGCTCAAGTTTCAGCCTACAGCTTAAAATAGTGAAGCGGTTAATAATAGGATATTTCTTTTGCTGAAATAGCATCAGTACATCCTCTCCTCGTTTAGCAACCGAGTTCCATTCCAGGTTGAGTGAAATGCTCGCTAAGTGAAACTCATGCTAGGCTAGATGTGTATGCTTATGACTTTACTTCAGCTTTACATACTGTTTATTTACATTTATTTCTTTTATCCTTCTTAAAATTGGCATTTTAAACAAGATTTTGTACATTCTACTTCAAAGATCTTTTACTCCCGCGGGTGTTGTCGTCCAGCATACAATATGTGATCATAAATGTGAGCAATGGTTAGAAAATGAATTTTTTTTATTACAGCCATAATAACAGATAAGTTGCTGACCAAGGGACTTGCTACAAATGGAGTGGTTGTATTTACTTCGATGGTCCCGAAAGGTCGTAATCATGTTTTTATGCTGGTGTTGTTATTGGTGAAAGTGCAGTGACATGCACATAGATGTTCATGTGTGCATGCGATTCTCACGTCTTCGCCCCCCCTGCAGACGAGATCACGACCAGCTTCCGTCGTTTTGGCCATCTGGTGGTGGACTGGCCGCATAAGGCGGAGAGCAAGTCCTACTTCCCCCCCAAAGGTACGGACCGTAGCGCTAGTGAACGTGTGTGTTTCCATGACAACCTGGGTGCTGGGCAGGCGCGTGTCTCTTACAGCACGTGACGTTACAACTCAAGCAGTTAGAAATGGGAGCAGGAGCTCACGCTGAGTGAAGTGATAGGTGTTTGCGGTCCAAAGATGATGAAATCCTCCTCATCCTGCAGCATTATATAAGAGTGAGGCAGCAAAATTTCCTCATTTCACACGGTGTTTGTAAGGCAGATGCAGAGATTCAGTTGGTACCAGTACAGCCTTCAGGGATTGGGGTCAGGGCTTGATAATTCTATAGGCCAGTGGTTCTCAAACGTCTTGGACCAAGTTCCAAAGCAGTAAAGTACCATATGAGCAAAAAAAAAATCACGGTAGCTTGAATCTCAGTAACTAGTTACTGCTGTCTTCCACTTGGGGGCACTCCAAATACCAGTTTGTGAACCACTGCAATAGGTGACTCTTTTGAGGGGGCGCCATTTTAGAAATCGCCGGTGCTCCTCCCCCCCTCCTCCAGACATGCACCATCTGAGACAAAGTGATGTGGCAGTGAAGTTTTCTTGGGGGGGCACTGGCATGGAAACTTGCCTTGAGCTCCATGGGGGCTTTGACCAGCACTGATAGGGGTTCAGGTTCTGCCCCCACTCTGTGCGTGTCGTCCCCGTGTCACTGTGGGCTTCTACTGGGTGCCTTGGTTTCCCCCAGCAGCCCAAAGACATGCAGTTGGCTGAGCTGGTGTTTCCACATCCCTGGGATGTGCTCACCATGTTCCCGACACTGTGCACCGAGCTTCCTGGACGGGCTCCTGACCCGCTGTGACCTTGCACTGGTTAAATGCTTATGGAAGATGGATGGAGACAGTAGAAATGTACACGGAACAGTGCCACTTTTGTTTAAGCATTGAATTCCTGAGCATTAGCACAAGCACCCAAGATTTTCATTCCCAGACGTGCGGATCGCAGATGTTTGGTGAATCACTCCAGCAGGTGGCCATGCTCAGATTGAGGGGGAAATGCTGTTTTTTTTTTTTTTTTTGTTTTTTTGCAGAATGTGAAAATTCTTCGTGGTGCATTAAAACTTGCATGTATTTGGGATTTGTTTTTTTTTTTTTTGAAAAGGTGTAATTTAAGTAGCATAATTTTCTTTTTGGATGTATAAGATATAATCTGGTTATAAACAAAATGGACCCATAATTTTTGGTTGAATCTCCAAGGATTCAGTTACAAATTAAATTTTATTAGTATTTTTTAGAGCCTTATGATGAATATTCATGAGCAGTCACTGTTTTTATGAGCTGAATTTGTGTCATGCTAATGGGGCGCGTTGCCGACCTGCGTGGCAGCCATTCAAAGCCATCGCTCTGTGTCGCCTAGGTTACGCCTTCCTGCTGTTCCAGGAGGAGAGCTCTGTACAGGCTCTCATCGAGGCCTGTCTGGAGGAGGATGGCAAGCTCTACCTGTGTGTGTCCAGCCCCACCATCAAGGACAAGCCGGTGAGTTTAAGAGCGCCAGTCTGCCACTCAGCTGCATGTAGGTACCAGCAAATAAAAAATGTACAATTGGCCAAATTTTATAAATCAGAATGTTTTACTTTGATGCCAAATAAAGATGTATAAAATTCAAGTAATTGTATGCAACGGTTTTTGAGATATGGCTTTTGGGACCCCTGACCCGATGAGTACCCCTGACCCGATGAGTGGGGACCTCCCTTTCATTTGAATCTGGGATATTGTTGCAAATCTCCTGAAAACCTTTATTTTTCAGATTTTGGTACCTAGTTTGCTGGGCTTTTTGGGAAAAAATTACTGTGAAATTGACTAACATCCTTGGTTGAACTGTTGAAATTTAATTTCAGTGCAGCCTTTGAAAGAAATAATGAGAAGGCACGGGGGGGGGGGGGTGTGGCTCAGCAGGCTGTGTCTGTGTGCCCGCGGTCGGAAGGCTGCTGGTTTGAGGCCGACCCCGGCAGAATACTCACACTTCCATAGACCCCTGAGCCTCCACAAGCACCATAGGTGGCTGCTTTTTGCGGTGACCCCCAAACTTGCTTTCATCTGGAGAGCAGGATCCTTTATTTTCATGAAAAATTTGATGTGTCTGCACAGAGATATAAGTTGTGTCAGAAGTATTTTGGGAGGAAGAGTTTAAGGCTCCCCTGAGCTCCGTCTTCGTCTATTTGGATCATATTTGAGACGGAAGTAAGACATTTAACAATAAACCTTTTACTCTCCTGTTCTTGCTGGCTGTATAGACTTTAGTTCTGATGTTTTCTTCAGAAGCTAATCAGCCATTTTTACCACAAGAATAAGTTTCACTCTGCTAAAGTAAGCTGGATAAGGCAGCTTTGCAGTATGGTGCATTCCAGGAGTGACCAGCAGCGGTCGTGGTTTTGTGTTTCACTTTCGGAGCGCGGAGATTATCTGCTCTGCAAAGTGTAACTGATTCTCTGATGAGGCCGAGAACAAAGGCCCATATTCAGGGCACCTTCCTCAGGACCCAACCCACATGGTTCCACTGGGGCCATGCGGACAGAGCCAGAACCAGATAGGGGGACGGGGGGGGAGTTCAGGAGAGGGTGGGGCTAGCTGGCCCCTGGGGTACTGAACTCTCTCCAAAACAGGTCCAGATCCGCCCCTGGAATCTGAGTGACAGTGACTTCGTGATGGACGGCTCGCAGCCCCTCGACCCCCGGAAGACCATTTTTGTGGGCGGGGTACCACGCCCCCTTAGAGCAGGTAACCACCCACCTGCCCATCTACCAGTAAGGCTGTTGGAAAATGTCAATGTGTCTTGCCGGCTCTAACATAACTGCCCTTTCACAGTGGAGTTGGCCATGATCATGGACAGGCTGTATGGGGGGGTCTGCTATGCGGGCATCGACACCGACCCGGAGCTGAAGTACCCCAAGGGAGCGGGCCGTGTGGCTTTCTCCAATCAGCAGAGCTACATCGCAGCCATCAGCGCCCGATTCGTCCAGCTGCAGCACGGTGACATTGATAAGCGGGTGAGGCAGCCAATGGGAGAGGAAGTCGTGTGGGAGTGGCAGTGTAGAAATTGCACACCATTAATATCTCCAAGTATGGTGGTAACTTGTGTTCAGCTACTGTGGTAAACCTGTTTTTCCTCCCAGCGAGGGAGCCTGTGCTCACCCTTGCTTGTGCTCACGTGTCGTGTCTGTGCCGCACAGGTGGAGGTGAAGCCGTACGTGCTCGATGACCAGCTGTGTGACGAGTGCCAGGGCGCTCGCTGTGGCGGCAAGTTTGCGCCCTTCTTCTGCGCCAATGTCACCTGCCTGCAGTACTACTGCGAGTTCTGCTGGGCCAACATCCATTCCCGTGCTGGGCGTGAGTTCCACAAGCCGCTGGTGAAGGAGGGTGCCGACCGGCCCCGACAGATCCACTTCCGCTGGAACTGAGGTCTCGCCCGCTTCCCACGTCTGTCCCAACCTTTCCTGCTCTTAAGCCCTCCCCTGCCTGCTCTTATCCTGCCCCCTGGCCCCACCCACAAAAGTAAACACAGGCAGGCAGAAATAAGTGCATTCTTCTGCACCCACACCCAAAAAATGCGCCACCCACCCTCTGAGACCCCCCGGGCACACACTACACACACTGTCTGTCCTTTGTAGCAGCCAAAACTCTACACTTCTTGCCCTCCCCCATCCCCCAACCAAATCCTCACACATCTGATTCCTGACTTCTTCAGTGGTACTTTCATGTGTTTTTTTTTTGTTTTTGTTTTTTTTAGGTAACACGGCAGAAAAAAGACATGAATCAAATCACTTCCTATTTTTTCCCCAGATTATTTTTCTACGTATGGTTTAAAGTAGGTATGAGGAATTTTTTTGACATGTGGGCAGTTAGCCCCACCCACCTGTCAGTACACCCCGATTGCTGCTAGCCCCCTGGTGGATGAAGTGTGCACTTATTTCTGAGAAAAAAAACCTCGGTTCATATCTATCCCAAGTCACGTACCAAAGGTAGCGGAGTGATAGGAGGTACGCGAAAGATGCTTTTCTGCCGTGAGCCAACCAAGTGTGATTTTTGTACCGTCTCTCTTTGCTGTGTATTCTTATTGGGGAAGAAGAAAAAACACACACATAAACACAGAAAAGGTTACTCTTTTTCTCTCCATTTTGACTTGCGGAAAAATAATACCTCATTACACTGATCTGGTTTGTTATCGGAACATTTTTAATCACAAGCTATATTAGAAGCTTTTGCTGCTATATATGATAAATAAGTATATTTATAGGTGTTATAATCAATGCCATGTATTAACACGACAGCAAGTGAGAACATGCATAGCACCCAGAAAAAAAACAGCTAGGGGGGCACAAACTGCCATCAAAGATTTAGAATGTGAAAACACAGCTGCATGTTTGTTTACATCTACAGCCATATGCATGCGACAAGATTATAGATTCACATGAGAAAACTCAGTTATACAAGTCATATTAGGAAAAAAAAACATTATGTAGCATGAACAAAAATAACATGAAACCAGTAATAAGAAAATAATTACTGAAAAAAGTATTTAAAAAAAAATCTTTGCATGCATTGTTGTTGTGTATGTTTTGGGAGTGTCTTGCGTGTATTTTATACACACGTGCAAAAATTAGTCTTAGATTAGCGTGTCCCGGTATGGGAGGATCTGTTGGTTAGTGGACAGCGGCAAACCAGAGCAGAATGGATGTAGACATTAGTCTTTGTGTGGTCTTTGTGGTTTGTGGTTCTCTTTAGTGTGGACTGAGTATGGTTACATTTTAGACTGAGAGTTACAGAAATTACCACCCACCACCCTGTTACCTAGGTTACTGTGTCCTAGCCTAAGTCCTCAGAAGGCTGCTGGGCACTTCGAGTCCACTGTCACATTAGACTCTCCGTCCGTAACATAGGAGATGGAGAGAAAAGATTTTTTTATAGCAATGAAGCAATCTGGAGAAGTTGAAATGGAGACAGAATAATTGTGAAGATGGTTATTCGTCTCTGGCTAAAACGGTACTTTTAGATTAGAGGACCACAGGGTGAAGCATTCTTATAGAGTCTGGAAATTACGGACATCTCCCTTAGGAAGTGCTTTCGACCGAAGCTGCTCTTTCCCTGAACAGATGTCTGTGTGAATGTAAATGTGGAAAAGCTCAGCCTCTTGCTCCCCCTGGTGACCCAGGCGAGGCCCCCTCCTTCCTCCATCCCTCCCCCAGAAAACGACAAAAATGTGCAGTTTGTACGATTCAGGCTGAAAGAGCAGGAGAGATGCTCGCTAGCTGTAGGTGTTGGCATGAGGATGGGGAGCAGTCCTCACATATATTAAAAAAAACCAGTCCTCAGACTTGATTTTAAGTGGTGATTTATGCTTTTACCTGTAGACTGACAGTAATGGTGACCTGTCTTCTTACTGTGCTTATGAGGATGTTACATTACTTTAGTAACAGTCGTCGTGTGAGCAGTATTGACTTCGGAACACATGCAGCCGACCTGCTACATTTCTGTGTCCCAGTTCGTTTGTTGTGACTTTGCCCCTTTTTCTAACATGCATCAATCACATCTGGGTTAAGCAGATAACGTTTCGCCTGTTTATACCGAATTATTTATTTCATGTTTCTTAGCTGTCTGTTGTCCCAGTTCTACACTTTTTGTCCCCGATTTAAAAATCAGTTTCTAGAATATTATGCACTAATTTCTAATATATTTATTTGTAGCTGTCTATTTTCCTTGCATATTTATTCCTTTTGATAAGAAAAAAGTTAGCTGGTTTTAAAAGTTCTACTTATAATGAATAGCTTTTTCCTATACCTCAATTTCCTGAAAAGTTTCTCTCCGAAAAAGCCCCCCCACTTTTAATTCTGTGAAATTACTTGATAAGCTTTATGTTAAAAATAATAACTTATGATTTTTAAAATTATTATTATTGCAATGTTTGAGGGCCCCAGGGCTGTTTTCTATGTGAATGGCATAGAAATTTGACATATTAAAATGTCAGGAGTGCTGTCATTGAACGTGCAAACGACCAAGGGCTCTGCTGAGAGGAACGGGATGGTCCCCTTCGGCCGTCCGAATAAAAATTGCCGACGGCTTATGGATTCCTAGAATCTGTGGGTGATGGCCCAAGGCAAAGTAACAGTGGAGAAACCCCATCGCCACCCCCAGTTAAGTGTTGATTTCTCCTGCCATGCTGGATTTGGGATTTTCAGTAGCTGCTGTTTGCTGGGGGGATAAATATTTTTTAAAAACACTCAAAGGAATGAAATTTTTGAGGATAATGACATTCTCCCAACTCTACCCTGTGACCGTAACACTCGTCTGCGTGCGTGTTTGTCTTTTTTATATGTTGAACACTGTTGTTTTTTGTGCATTTTTTCCTGTAAAATCATATTTATTTCACTATTTTTGTAGACAAAAAAAAATTGATTTTCGATTGTATTTTTCCTATTTAATGCAAATACACAATTTTATTTCCCCTATATTTGTAATTCTGATCACAAGGACGGTTCTGTTGAGAGGACAACATGAAAACATTTCAAAATGCATGCAATTATGCACATATTGATATATAGACTGATTCCTGTATTAATGATATTGGTATATATGTGACTATATGCATATTTTATTTGAAAGGAAAGAAACGAAGGCTTGTATTATGTTCATGGATGACACTTGAGATCTACGTCCTCATGCATCTGGGCACTGAGGACCCTTCTCCTCAAAGACGCTTCGAAACTTGAATATATAACACATTTTGAAAGGCTGATTAACCTCCATTCTGTGTTGTGACGTGCAATACTGTTTCTAATGTTTGTATAAAGTAAGAACAACGGTGTAAACCTTTTTAAAAGCAGATTTATTTTTTTCATTGCATACTTTGCAGATTTATGATCCGCGGTGTCATTTTTTTACTGTCAGAAAAGAATCCCGTTTTTGTCATTGCAACTATTTTTAAATCCAGATATCTTTGTACTGATGTAAATGATTGTAGTTATTTAGTGTTTTGCTAACAAAAGGAGAGACTTTTTCATGCATAATTCTATTTTGTTTGTTTTTTTTTTATTTTGCTTTATTCTGTTTTTTTATTTTATTTTAATAGTAGCAAAATACTTGGAATAATTTTTCATATTCTATGTCATTAATATTATTTTGTATTTTTATGTGGGGAAAAAATAAATATATATATATATAATTTTATGAAGCTAATTGCTAAAATTTTATTTTATGTTGAATTATTTTTGGAGCTAAAATCTTTGTAATATTGTTAAAGTAACTAGTTTCTAAATCAGAATTTGTGTATAGATTCACAGAAGTGGTTTATGAAGTGTTTGGATTGTAATTATTACCGAATGGGTATTTGATATGCAAAATTAGTATCATGTTGATTTTTATTTTGTTTGTTTTGTATTTAAATGGAGTGTTAATTACCATATTTTTCTTTCATTTCCTAAATAAAGACCCATTCTGTTTGGACACAAAAGATCACTTTTTAGTGTCATTTCCTTTTGTCTCCCTCAGTGTGATTGAGAGGACATGCTCTTCTGCTCTGTCATGTCCTTAATCCACCTCCCCTGGTGGATCTATATCCCCTGACTTTAAATATCTGTAGTCATGATTATTAAACAAATAAATTGTTAAATAATTTTCAGTCTACTTTAATCGTCTTGTAAAATCATTTTGCATTTTTAGCGGTTCCTCCTAGTTAATTATTACACTTTATTCCTGAGACCCAGTTGCCTCATCCCCTCCCAAAATGTGGCTTGGAGCGCGGATTAGCGGTCAGTCCAAGCCGATCCATTCCTTCCCTTGAGCACTGACAGGAAGTATACCCTGTCCCTCACACCCAGTCTAAGCTGTCTCCAGGCTCAAGTTTTTTTTGTAGACCCAGTTATAGTCACCTAGTTTTATTATTTCTACATGGCAATAATCTTCACTATACCTCTTTCAACCCAAGATGTACAAAAACATAAGCACTACCACTGGAGTATTAATCAGTATTTTCCTTTGTTTCATTAACCGCATTGGACATTATTATTGGACAATTCCAAAGCAAAGGTTTCCTTGGTAACAGTGACCCCGATGCACGTACGCACATAGTTATGCCATACCTCCTAGTACCGCATGCGAGTGCATGTCTGGTCTTAGGCTAATACTCAGTTATCCTTTTTTGAACTCTAAACGTTGCTGTCGTCATGACTGGACAGGGACAGGTTACCTATCTGGGATTTTCATCAGCGTTTCGATTGGCCCAAAAGGTCAGGTGTCAACTTGCCCTTCTACTGATGCCCAACCAGGTTCAGGCCTTCTGCTGTTATATAATTTAAAAGCAGTTTAACTCACCTTTGGATAATGCTAGTGATGAAAGGAACAACGTGCACAGAAGGTGCGATTATTATGCCAGTCAGCCATTGGTGTTACCCCTTTTAGGCCCACTGGTTTCACCCAAACTGATGATGTTTATGTGATGTCATAATCAGAGCACTCCCTACAGGTCTGCATCAGACTGGCATCTTGTTTGTTGTCTTTACTAAAGTGTTTTCTGAACACAGACAGGGTGTAGTGTAGTGTAGTGTAGTGTAGTGTAGCAGGGAGCCATGTTGGTGACTGGGCCCCAAAGGCAAAATGGCTGCAGATTTTTTATTACCCCAACAGCTGTCCTTTCATGGTGAGCTTTTTTTATAGTCTCTCGCCTTGACGATTTTTATTCCCGTTTAGAATTGCCTGTCTTGTCACATCATGGCTCCTACCAACCTGCACCGCTGTCCAAGACCCCCCCCCCCCAACAACAAGCTGTTTTAATGTTCAACCGGATAATTTTTCGTTATAAGGCAGCTGCGAGATGTTCCAAGGTTGGATTTAAATGTATGCAAAAGTGTAACTTGCGAATTCACACCAGGCTCAGTGTCAAGGGAGGCATGGAACAGTTTAGTCTTAAAGTTCCCCCACTAAATACATAAATATTGTATACACTGTAAAGATAAGTATATAAAAAGCTGAACTAGGAGTACTTCATTCCATGTTGATATTCAAAGTAGTTTAAAATTGAACGATAAATGAATCAGTCAAAATACTTGACTTAAATTAATGTTAACTTGGGTTAACATTAACGGCAGTGCAGGCCTAAGCTCTACTGACAGATCAGGCCAGTTTGGTCTCAGGTTGCTTAAGATTAAAAGATAGGCCTTATACATTTTGCGTTTTTAGCAACTGCTGACTTTGTATTATATGCATGTGGTGTTATTTGCGCAAACTAAATTTACGATGTGCAACATAAAAACAAACGTCATGGTGGTTGTGCTGCCCATGGTTCTGACATGTAAGTCTGTCAGTTGCTTCAATGAGTGTCTGTCAGTTGCTGTTTTAATGGTGTCATAGCAGTATTATTAGTATTGCTGTTGGTGAGTTAAACTGCGCCCCCTCATTTACGACGCTTGGTCCGTCCGGCAAAACGGTTGTGGCACCGGGGCTGATTCACGCCAGTGTCCGGCGTCAGTGAATCTGCCCAGAATCCTGGATCTGCCAATATCATTATCCTCTGTGACAGAAATGATGCTGTACAGGTGATTAAAGGCACAATACTGCTGTTTACACTGTTGCAAGAACAAGATTGAAGTGAAATGAAAGTAAATTAAATTAAATGTAATGAAACATTATCCACACATCAGTGTACAAAAAATTTACATATTCATTAATTCCCGCCTTTATTATTATAAAACATGTGTTTGCTATTTCATTTAATAGAATTTCATTTGTGCCACATTTTTAAAAAGATAATTAAGTAATATGTCTATGTCTTTGCTAGATCAATTCGATTTGTCAAGAACTGCCACCAGGAACTGGCCTGGATCCATTCATGCTTCTGTTTTTTGGCAGCTGTGTACCCTTGTGCTGATTGCCATCTAAATGCGGCTCTAGTCTGATAACGCCAGCGGACCCTGAATCCAAGGTGCACAGCACCTCTACTGGATGTACATGGTACTGCAGCCCACTATATTTTCACTTTACGGCCTGCAGAGTCTGTTTTGATCTTGAATCTGATTCTTTTCTACTTCAGATGAAAATTTATTTCTCCCAGTCTCAACAACCTCAAACTGTATGAGTCGTCCTTTTTAATTGCAAATACCATAACTTTTCAACTAGGAGTCACCCATGCTTTTTTTTTTTTTAGACTTTAATGATCATTACAACATCTTGTTAATGATGAGTCAAGAATAGTTCAACAAAAGAAGCCATTAACTTTGATGTGTAATTTATATTTTACTTTTTAAAAGTATTATTCATTATTCAGGAACAGGAGAACACAGTTTCCTTGGTAACATGATACCTTTAAGAAGAGCAAACAAACACCTGGTCATTTATGCAGGATAAATTGGACATATATAATTTCAGGTAAAAAAATTACTGAGATTAGATACTAAGAGAAGTGCTTCATTGCCCAACTTGACTTGACCCTGATACATTTCAGTACCTCTCTTACCAGGTGTGACGTTGCCTTGGATTGAATTTTTTTTTTGAGATGAGACCCCCAATGAACTAAAGTAAGGCTTTCTTATCATATACTACAGTTTTGACAACCAAAACTCACCCAGTTGTCATTTAATGCAATGAAGAACTTTCATTAATTTGTAAAAACTCACTAAGTGGACAGAAACTCTATCAAAACACTTATCATGTAAACTGAATGAGTTTTGGAAATGTGCAATGTCATACCATACTGTACATATCATGTATTAGGACTATATGACATATAGTAAGTAATATGGCTTGATATATACAATAGGTCTAGCAGGTCTCATGAAGCATGCTGCTTTAAGAAACTGGTAGCCTTTCCTCCTCTAAGTTATTCTTGGCCCCTCTGATTTGCAAAGGGGATGGGGTGGGTCCCTTAAATATGCAAGGGCGTGGTGTTCGTCTGGATGCCTGACTCATAGAGCAGGAAGTAAAGAACATCAGACTCAGACAGTTTCCTGCTCCAGTTCATTGGGAGCACACTCTGTTCCACAACAGCTGCATCCTGGGACTCTTGCTTACGGCGATCACTGGCTCAGCCGTCTTCTCCAGCCAGCTCGCATCCATCGTACAAGGCACAGATGTCTCATGGGATGGCTTTGTGTCCATTCCCCGGAACCCGTATGATGACATCTGTGTGCTTGTGGGCTATTTATTTGTTGACATAACAGACTATAGTATAGCTAACGGTACTCGAGATTCCCCCTGGGAAATGTACTGTAAGCTTAGGGAAGGCCTAAATCTCTGAACATAATTCACAGAAAAAAAAAAAGTCTGGCTGGTTGGTCAACCGTCTCTCCCCCAGGCTTGGCCACGCTCATTGGCCAGAGGCCCTGGTTTCCGAAGGCGGGTAGAGAGGTAGATGTTTGTAGCCGCCGGCCCACAGCCAATCTTTACATCTGTATGTCTGGGACAGGATGCCGTTGTTATGGCAACGAATGACAAGCACCACGGATAGAGTGGGCTGTTGTCCGAATGAGTGAGAAAGAGAGACTGGGTGGAGGTGCTGAAGCAGAATGCATGCACTGGAGGCTCTGTGTAATGAAGTGGTCCAGACCTTTGGAACGGAAGAGTAGATTTAATTTTACTATACAAGGCAAAGATGCATTTAGCAGACACTTTCATCCTTTGGGAGATCAGGGTCAGCCAGTTGCTGGAGCAATTGGGAATGCTCAAAGGCCCAACAGCAAAATCACTCTGGCAACCCTGAGATTTGAACCACTGACCTTCTACTTAAAGGGATAGCATCTTAACCCACTACAGAGGCACACAACACTACTAGATATTTATAAGTAAAAAACATATTGTCCAATGGTTTGAAATTTTAGTTTTGAACCATGAGACATGATTTTAAATCCAGAGGTGGTTGTACCTACTAGACTGTGGCCCTCCCAGACTCGGTGAGCTTCTGTATGGTGCACCACGGCTCAGTCGTGATCTTCCAGGATAATGGCTAAGTAGCCTCCTCAGGACCCTACAGTATTTGGGAAGCACCCAGAATGTCAGTCAATGCTATGGTCTTCATTATATTATTGTGGGTTTAATGTGTTTTCTGCAGCTTAGCGTGGGAAATCTCTTTCTGTGAAGCCTTCGCCAGATTCCAGCATTCCAGGAAGCTGTCCCGAGGGTGAAATGTAGTCCTCCCGCTTTGTTTATGCCTCAATAACACCATCTTGTGGATATTACTAGGTAGTGCTGTTTAATGAAGAAAGTAGCCAGTAGGTCAGAATTAAATACTGCAGTTCTTTTTTTTTTTACTCATTCGTGTTATTTTATTGCTCATTTGTGATAAAACTATTTGGAGAACAAGAAGTATTTTCGCTTGGGCAAGTGTTCTACCCAAAATGACTTGCAGCTGCACCTATTTATTTTGACTGAAGCATTTTGAATACTGGTCTTAAAGGTACAACAGCAGGACAAAACTAAAATGGGCAAGGCAAAACAATGTAACTGCATATTTTATCAACATTGAGACT